GACTGCCACCTGGAGTGCTCACTAGTGCATGCCTATTAGGGGCAGAGGGAGGGGGGCGGGGAGGAGGAGACAGGGCCTGTGCTCCATGCAAATTATGGTGTACATGGGCAAATTTGGACTTTCTTTCAAAACAGGAGAGACCATTTAGTCTTTCTTCCCAAATACGATAATAAGTGCATACAGCTAGTACAAAATTAAAGAAGTTCACATATTCTAACCTTTCTAATCTCTGCCCACAAAAGATCTACAGGAGGCTTAGGGGAACGATTCAGTTTTTTGTGGCCCATGACATTTGCTGGTACTTCACAACTCAAAGCTGGTAGTTTGACCTTTTATGTTATTTCAGCCCAGACGCACCAGGACTTGTAGTTTGGCAGTGCCGCCACCAGGTGGAGGTAGTGTCTTAAACACAGATCTCACCCAGCTCTACTCCTGGGCAAGGCCCTCGGATTTAAAACCAGCTTTCCAGTTATGTACTAACTTATTAATAATGATGATTAAATATAATCATTAAATATAAGGAAACACCTGGCTAAAATAGTTCAGGCATTTTTTATTTTTTATTTTTTTAAATTAAATTATTATCTGTGTACATATTTTAACATTGGCACCCCCCCCCATGCATACCCTAGTTCAGGCATTTTTTAAATATCATATAAGAAGACATGAGATGGGATTAGTTTAATTTTTAAAAATTTGTGTTTATCTGTCTTGTTTTTTGTATAATTAGCATGTATTATATAATATTTGAAAGGAGATAAAGCAAATTCTAAAGAAACACAGGTCCCAGTGGTACCTATGTCATGTTAGTCCATTCTGGGAAATCTTCTTGTAAGTCTGCTTGTTATCAGAAGCTACCACTTGAGGACCAGCTGAATATCCAGTGCTTCCGGCTACTTATCTTACAGTGGCAAAGGATCTGTTTTTTATCACAGTCTTGATGATCTCCTCCTCCTGTTCACAATTTTTATTTATTTATTTATTTAAATATATTTTATTGATTTTCCACAGAGAGGGAGAGAGATAGAGAGCTAGAAACGTCGATGAGAGAGAAACATCGACCAGCTGCCTCTTGCACACCCCCCACCGGGGATGTGCCTGCAACCAAGGTACATGCCCCTGACCAAAATCGAACCTGGGACCTTTCAGTCCGCAGGCCGACGCTCTATCCACCGAGCCAAACCGGTTTCGGCTGTTCACAATTTTTAATACTAGTGTAAAAGATACCTGTAAGATTCTTTTTACTATCGTAAAATAAGGGGCAGAAATTTCTCTCCTGGTTAAAAGTACGTACTGTCCTGATGATCTTTTTCTTCTGTGTCCCTGACCAGGAGTTACTTTGCTGACCATGATAAAGCGATTTGCTAGCTCTCAGTGTCAGATAGGGATGGACCTCTGTTTTTTTAAGAACTATGGACCAGACCCCATGATTTCCCTTTCAAACATTATTTCCTATAATTCACCCCGTTATGTGATTATAGATCTCATCTTTTTGTAGATGGGAAAACAGGCTTTTGAGAGATGAAGCACATAGATGAGGCTAGAGCCTAGACTTTCTAGACACGGGGTGGGGTGCTGGCTGGGGCTTTCATTACAAAGGAAACTCAAAATAGGTTGTGTCCCCTTACCATAGTGCATTTTGAAGTAAAATGTAAACCTAGGATTGTGCAAACTACATGTTGAAATTGGTTCAGACAGCTGGAATATCTTATTTCAAAGAGACCCAGTGTTTGCTTCAACATTGTTTAACACTTCACCCAGAGTGATAACATCTAAATGCCCATTATGAAGGAATTGGTTAAATAAATTATGGCATATTCACTTGATGTGAAATACTATTTAGCCATTAAAAATAATATCTACTTGGGTGTACTTATATGGGAAATGACCATGACGACTTATTAAGTGAAAAAAAGCAAATTATAGAATAGGTACTATTTTTTTTTTAAGTCTGTGCTTGTAATCCATATTTTTTTCTCCTTCCAGTTGAATTTACTTTTTGCCTGTCTAATGAGATATGGCTTATAGACAATAGCACTTAAGTCTGGGATATACCTCAGACTTTTACCTAAAAAATAGTTATCTCTAGGTAATGGGATTAGTATGAGAGGATCTTTGTGCTCTTTGCTTTGTTTGAATTTTTTTGTAATGAGCATGTATTCCTTTAATAAATTGGGTGTATTTTCTTTTCTTTTTTTTCTTTTCAGGCACTTTTCTTTTCTTTTTTTTTTTTTTAATTTATTTTATTGATTTTGTACAGAGAGGAAGAAAGAGAGATAGTGAGTTAGAAACATCGATGAGAGAATCATCGATCAGCTGCCTCTTGCACACCCCCTACTGGGGATATGCCCGCAACCAAGGTACATGCCCTTGACCAGAATCAAACCCGGGACCTTTCAGTCCCCACGCCGACGCTCTGTCCATTGAGCCAAACCGGTTTCGGCTGGGTGTATTTTCTTTTAATCCTCACTCAAAAATGTATATTTTTTGTTGTTGATTTTAGAGAGAAAGTGAGAGAAACATAAATCAAATACCTGCCATACATGCCCCAAATGAGGATCAAACCCATAACCAAATTGTGTGTATTTTTTAACAACAACAAAAAAGACTAAGATGTTCACAATCATGGTCAAGTTGAGAAGCTTCCCAAGGACCTGAGACACGCCATCTTCTATCCTGAAATCTGTCCTGAATTGGGGAATTTACTTCAGCAGCTGAAGGTTTGGGGTCCCGGGATTGATACTATTGTAATTAGCTGGTTATTAATAGCAGGAACGAAGCAAAGGGAAGGCCAGACATTATAGGATTGTTTCCTGCAAACCATTGGGACTGGGCAAAGGGGAGAAAGACACATGCCCAGTAAACTTGGGGTGACAAGGAAGGTGCCGTGTCAGTCACATCTGGGAACAGGTCATTGGCCAGAACGGGCGTGGCCACAGCTAGTGTGTGAAGAGTTGGGATTCTTAATTCCCTGAAAAAGGAGTTCACTGCCTTGTGCTCTTGGCTCTCTTGGGACTCGTGTTACTCAGTGCTGGTGGGGCTCTTTTGCTCCTGCTTTCGCACAGCCATAAGGACCCACACACAATGGACTAACGGACTGTAATTAGTCTAATGTTAAACTGGACCCAGTTCCACCATAGAAAGAAAACTCTGGACGCTGGCTGTGGTTTATTATTATTTTTTAATCTTTACCCAAGGATATTTTCCCATTAATTTTTAGGGAGAGTGAAAGGGAGGAAGAGAGGGCAGGGAGGAGAGAGAGAGAGAAACATCGATGTGAGAGAGATTGGTTGACACACACACACACACACACACACACACACACACACACACACACGGTCCAGGGCTGGAGATCGAACGTGCAGCCCATTCACGTACCCTTGTCCGGGAATTGAACCCATGACCCTTTGGTGCCCAGGCTGACTCTTTAACCATTGAATCGTACTGGCCAGAGCTGGCTGTGGTTTTAGCTCTACTAAATCCTCAGCTGCACATCTCCCAGGACTGGATTAAGGGAAATGGAACTCTGGAAACCCACAGGTGTTTGTTTCCACTCCATGAAAATAAAGCTTTCTATGATATCTCCTCCTCCTGAGGGGGCCTCTGGATATGATTATTCCAATGAAACCCCGAGAACCCCACTCCCGCTAGCAACGGGAAGAGACAAGCCACATTTTTCTCCCATGACAGGGTGACAGAAATAGCAAAGCCGCTCTCTTGTTATATCTTACCAGACCGAGTGTGCTTTGACTGTGCATCCTGTGGTAGCTCCCCCCACCCCTTTGTCAATCTCCAGCTCCTCGTTGTCAGGGAAAAAATAAGCTGCGCTTGAGGCTTTGGGCACCTCATTCATTATAGTACACTTGTGAGTGAGTGTGTGAAGCGCCCCAGTTTTTAAGATGACAAGCTCAGAGGGCAAAAACAAAATGTCCCTTTTGTTTCCGCATAACATATAGCACCGAATCTTGCCTGTCACAAGCAGATCACGATTATAGAATAAATTAGCCATTTATACAATTGGATTTCATGGCAAGTGTCTCCCTCCTCACTTTCTGTCAATACTCTGCCTCTCTCTTTTACTCTCAGAATCCGTTACTTCCTGCCGGTTTACCAATGAAAATAGCTTTGGAATTGGGATGGGTAGAGCGGGTGTTTGAGGGCGAGGCTAAAATGAGGTTGTTTTCTCATCAGTGGTTTCGTTATCACCGGCTTGGGGGCCCTGTGGGTGGATGGGAGCCGGGAGAGGGGTGTGGTGGCATTCCAGAGCCTGTGCTGTGGGGAAGGTGATGTGTGAGAGCTGGGAGTCACTGCCTCAGGTCTCCCGGCATCAGAGTACAGGCCTCCAGTAATCCCATTCGGCTCCTTCCACCCGGCTCCCTTCAACCTTTTACTGGTTAAAGGTCACGTCCTAGACCAGACAACAGAAGCTCAGCTTCCTCCCCGTGGGTAAACTTGAATAGGGATAGCGGCAAAGTAACAAAGCTAAGGTTGGTTTCCGTATTTTCTGACTCCCATCCCGCCCCTGTTCCCTCTTAATCATTTAACAGACAAACTGACCCTGTAGTACACTAGCATAAGGAAGTGTTAGGCGGTTCACCTTTGCGAAGGAAAGGAAGGAAGAGAATTAACTTTTATTGCCAACTATGTGTCAGAAGGCCGGCTCTACAAATATTATCTCATCGAATCCTTACAACAGCGAGCCTGGTATTTTCACCACCTCCCTTTCGCCGCCGAGATAACGGGGCCTTCAACATAGAGAGCGAGCCAGGGCTGTCTGGCTCCAACGCCTGGGCTGTCTCCACTCACCTTGGTTTGAGATTTGGCACCAAATGCTCATGATAACAGCTGAGGAGATAACATTCGCAGAGTGCCTTGTGTGGTGCCTGGCACATACTTTAGAAAATGTTCCTCCCCACTGCCCCTCCCCTCCCTCAGTCACCTCCTGTGCTGTTTGAAGCAGAGGCTCCCCTGATCAACTCTTCCCACCATCCTTTTCACAGGACCTAGGACAGTGATCCACCCTAAAGCGCGGATCATTGCGGAGGCCGGACCCATAGTGATTGGTGAGGGTAACCTGATAGAAGAACAGGCGCTGATCATAAATGCGTGAGTAAGACCCCTGCACATGCCCTGAATGAAGTGCCACAGGTAGTGTTTTTATTAACTTCACCTACCTACTGGAACCTTCCATACCTGACTTCTGGAAAGCCCATTGTGTTAGAACTAGAGAAGCATTAAGGATCATTTGCTCAGAAGGGATTAGTAAATGAGGAGAGGAAAGACCAGGTGAGTGAAGAGACTGGTCCCAAGTGAGGCAGCTCCTTGGTGGGTGGCTGCTGACTAGACTCTCAATCCGATAATCTTCCCCTCACATATCACTACCTCCTCTACTCTGTAAGCAGACATTCCCCAGGAACCTCCACTGTCCCAAATGCTATGCCAAACCCCATGATGAGCGTCTTTTGGTTGGATTTCTTGGTTCTCGCTCAAACATTATCTTCATATTCTTTGAAGGGGTTTTATTTATATTTGAAAAAGTTGGGGTCCTAAAGGGGATTTTAAAGATTAAAAAATAATAAAACATTAGAACATGTGCATGATCTTAGCGAGCTAGAGTGTAATACGTATGAAAATTTCTTAAGCATGTTGGCAGGAAATTCAAGCTTATACCTATTAGGTATATATTATATAGCAATAATGTGTGGAATTTTTAACAAAGACCTTGGGAAAATATTTAACTGATAAAGAGATTGTTTTTGGACGGGAGGTCTTAAAGCTTACTTAGGATTTGGGAGTTTCTTACTATATTAAGCAATTTCTTTTAAAAATATATTTGGGCACCTTTATCATGAGTCTTATTAATAATAGCTATATTCTGCAGTAACTCAGCTGTTGGGGATAAACCATTTTAAAATGACTTCCTTCTCTTAGAGCACAAATTGTGCGTGCATACACACACAGGGACCCTGACCCAAGACTGAACCCAAAACCTTGGTGAATTCAGACGACGCCAATTGAGCCATCCAAGTTACCAGGGCTTAGACCACAAACATTTATGTTCCAGTATTTCAACTAACCACCTGACAGCATAAAACAATTATTTTACGTGAATATCTGTTTATGAATGAGTATTAAGAATGGAAAATGTTCAACTTAGGCATGATTTTGATTCCAATTCAACAAGCTAAAAGTCATATCTTTCTTACCTTGTCCTGGAGAAGACCCTCTGAGCTTTGAGTGTAAAAAATAAAAGGAAGGCTCTCCTCCTGTGACTTCTTTACATTTCAGTACTTATTTTTTTAACTCCGAATCAAGTATTAGGTCTAGTAATAATTAATGTCGTTTTCTAATACTTTTTAAATCGAATTTATTTAAATAATACAACAAAATCTAATCAACAATATAGTTGCCGTTGTTTTCTACTACTTGTGCCCAGCGCTCAGGAAGCATTTTAATCCCTCTGTTGTAAAATTCTTGTGATTTTGATGCAAAAAATTCGGTCAATGCATTTTTGAGGCATTCTTCATTATTAAATTTTTTTCCAAGAAGAAAGTTTTGCAAAGAACGAAACAAATGGTAATCGGAAGGGGCAATATCAGGAGAATATGCAGGTTGAGGGAGAACTTCCCATTCCAACTGGCGCAGTTTTTCAGCAGTGATTCTTGCAGTATGCGGTCGTGCGTTATCGTGGTGAAGAATTACGCCCTTCCGATTAATCAGCGCGGGTTCTTTTGCTCTTAAAGCTTGAGCTAACCTTTCCAATTGGGCACTATACACTGCACTTGTAATGGTTTGGTTAGATGGTAAAAGTTCATAATGAAGAATTCCTTTAAAATTCCACCAAACACACAACATCACTTTTTTCGCATGCAAGTCAGGTTTTGGCGTGGGCTGCGGAGCCTCATTTTTGTCCAACCATTGAGGCCGCCTTTTCAAATTAACATATAGCACCCATTTTTCATCTCCGGTAACAATTTGCTCTAAAAACGGCAAACGGTTTTGACGAGAGAGGAGCGAACTGCAAATTGTGACTCTTTGATTATGGTTGTTGTCGGTCAACTCATGAGGAACCCATTTTCCAAACTTTTGGACTTTGCCAAGTGCACGCAATTGATTGGAAATTGTTTTTTGTGAACAATTTAAAGTTGTCGCAAGCTCTTGTTGGGTAATTTGAGGATTTTGCCCCAAAAGAGCTTGAAGAGCTTCTTGATCAAAATTGGACACACGGCCTCGACCACTTTTGTCATCTAACGAAAAATTTCCCTCGCGAAATTTCTCAAACCAACGCTGGCATTTTCTGGCGCTAACTGCATCTTGACCAAGAGCACTACAGATGTTTTTTGCAGCCTCACTTGCTTTTCTCCTAATTGGAACTCGTAAAGCATGCAGTGCCGAATATGCTCTTCATCCGCCATCTTCTTAGCCCTAGTTTTGCAACAAAAACCAAACCAAACACAAACTTTTTCAAGCAAAACTTGTTAATTGCACTTCACACGTTCTGTAGATACCACGTGTTTGAAGGTTATGTCAATACAAGTCAACGCCAAGCAAGATTTTAAACGAATGTTTAATTATTACTAGGCCCGATATAAGGAATAAATAATTCACTTGGATTAAGAAGTTATTATTTTAAGCTTGATTAGGTAAAATTGAGAGAATGAACCCAAATTCTAAAACTGGAGAATTAGTATTCCATTACTGAGTTGATGATTTGTCTCTTCTTTTTATAGTTACCCTGATAATATCACCCCTGACACTGAAGATGTGGAACCCAAGCCTATGATCATTGGCACCAACAACGTGTTTGAAGTTGGCTGTTGTATCCTTTACAACAATTTAGGACAAACCATTCCTGGCTGCTTTTTAATTCCTAAGACTTTGTAGAAATTATCATAGTTTATTGATTAAATATATTTATTATGTATATATTAATTACATTTTTAGGGATTCACTATCCAGTTCTTTGAGAAGATACAGTTGCAGTGTATCAGAAAAATGATTCCCCCTCTTCTACTGAATGACCCAGGAGAGTAAAGGAAGAATGCCATTTTCAGATGTGCTTGCACACAGGTGTACACACAAAAACACACCTTTAGCTCAGCATTTTAAAGGCACCATCTTGTTCTTGTAACCTGTTGACAGGTAGCAATGACTAAGTGACGATAGACACAGAAACAGTAAAACTAGCTTCTGTCCTGACTGAAGAACCACGGTTGCTTCCATTTGACTCCTATATAGCTTTAGGGTGACAGTACATCATCTGAAGCAAGGAAATGGTGGATGGGGATGAAAATATTTCATTGTTTTCCCCCCTGAGTATCAGTAGTTCTTTCGCTTGATTTTTTTTTTTGTATTCAAAAAAGATGGTAAAGATTTTTTTTTATGTTGTCAGAAAAATATTATTTTATAACGGAAAATACTTGGGAAGAGAAAAAGCTAAATGTTTAACAATAGCAAAACATTTATGTAAAGCATAAAATGGACTATTGTGACCATTAAGCAGCCACTTAAAATTATGTTTTTAACAATTTTAATGGTATGTAATAATGCTCATAAATTTAAAGGGACCAAATAAAGTGAGTTGCAAAAGTTCATACAGCTTGATTTTGTAGTTTGATTCCCAGTTATATAAAGGGAAATATACATAATTATATAAAGTTATATCAAACCATCAACAGTGTTATCATTAAGTTATTGAGTGATAGGTATTTAACTTTTTAAAAACAATTATGGAAGTATGTTACTCTTAGAATTGGGGCATAAGGTGCTCATTTCTTTAAAAGACATAGAAGCTATTTATTTATTCTTAGAGATATTTATATTGAAAGATTAAAACGTTACTTTCAGTCACCCCTGAGCAAGGAATTTTGGCCAGACTGAGCTTGCATGGCCCTTCCCATGCCTGTCCTCTGCCCCAGGCAGGAAAAGGTCATAGTGAATTAGGGGGAGAAGGAACATATTTAATATTTACTTAACTCTGGCTTACAGATTCCCAAGCCATGAAAATGGGAGATAATAATGTTATTGAATCAAAAGGTAAGCTATGTTGGCAGTTTTATTGTGAAAAGTGATTTCCTCCTTTCTCTTTATGGTATCTGGAATGGAACCTAAGTAAAGGCATACCTCACTTTAGTATGCTTTCCAGATAATGGTTTTAATCAACATCCAGGCAAGACCCTCTACCAACAAAAAGGTTACAGCTTGCTAAAGGCTCAGATAATGGTTAGCAATAAAGTATTTTTTTAATTAAGGTGTGTACATTTTTTCTTTAGACATAATGCTGTTGTACACTTAGTAGACTACTGTGTAGTGTAAACATAACTTTTATATGCACTAGAAAGTCAAAGTTTTTGTGTGACTCGTTTTATTGCAATATTTGCTTTATTGTGGTAGTCTGGAACCAAACCTGCAATATGTTCAAGGTTTACCTCTACAAACTATGGCAAAGTGGTATGCATGGGAGTGGACTAAAATAGCTGTGAGATAATTCAGTTCTTTGCCTGTAAGGATTCCAATCAGGTAATGAATTTAATACATTAAATTAAAAATTCAGCTGTGTATATTTAAATCAGAACTGAAATTTATGGAAAGTGTAAATGAAAGTTTGGGAAAAGATTTCTACTAAATAATGCACTAATGTCAATGATAATTTAGTGGATTAATGTTATTGTAGAATTGTTAAAAATCAGTTTGTCGCCTAAACCGGTTTGGCTCAGTGGATAGAGCATTGGCCTGCAGACTGAAGGATCCCAGGTTCGATTCCAGTCAAGGGCATGTACCTTGGTTACAGGCACATCCCCAGTGGGGGGTATGCAAGAGGCAGCTGATCGATGATTCTCTTTCATTGATGTTTCTCTCTCTCTGTCCCTCTCCCTTCCTCTCTGTAAAAAATCAATAAAATATTTTTAAAAACTCAGTTTGACTAGCTATTTGCTTTATTTAATTTTTTTTTTTAATATTTTTTTATTGATTTCAGAGAGAGAGGGAGAGGTAAAGAGAGAGAGAAACATCAGTGATGAAAGAGAGTCACTGATTGGCTGCCTTCTGCACGCCCCACACTGGGGACTGAGCCTGAAACTCAGGCATGTGCCCTGACTGGGAACTGAACTGTGACCTCCTGAGCCACTCCAGCCAGGCAATTGCTTTTTTTAATTTCAGGTCTACTACCCTAGCCAATCAGGAACAGATCTAAGCTACATATCATAAATGGGGCCAGGCAGGGGTTCATGTAAAGCCACCAACCACGACTGGGAAGTAGCTCCAAGAACTTGTCCCATGAAGGTCCAGAAAGACTCTGCACAATGAGACTTTTTTAGGATAATGCTTTATCTTCCTTGGTTCTCATTGGCATGAAATAAAATGCTTCTCTTTTTAAATAATGAAATTAGACTTTTCTGATTCCACTTAGTGGTTTTATTTTATTTTATTATTATTTTTTTAATATATTTTATTGATTTTTTACAGAAAGGAAGGGAGAGAGATAGAGAGCTAGAAAAGTCGATGAGAGAGAAACATTGACCAGCTGCCTCCTGCACACCCCCCACTGGGGATGTACCTGGAACCAATGTACATGCCCTTGACCGGAATCAAACCTGGTACCTTTCAGTCCGCAGACCGACGCTCTACCACTGAGCCAAACCGGTTTCGGCTTAGTTTTTTTTTTTTTTAATATTTTATTGATTTTTTACAGAGAGGAAAGGAGTGAGATAGCTAGAAATGTCCTTGAGAGAGAAACATCGACCAGCTGCCTCTTGCACACCCCCCACCGGGGATGTGCCCGCAACCAATGTACATGCCCTTGACCGGAATCGAACCCGGGACCTTTCAGCCCGCAGACCTACGCTCTACCACTGAGCCAAACTGGTTTTAATTTGGTTGCCAATTAGTATTACCATTGTCATTGACATTTTCTATTTATTATATACTTATTATGTGTCAAACCTGTGCTCAGCCCTATACATTTACTATCCCATTTTATTTCTTACAACAAAATGAAAAAACTTTCCATTTATTGATAAACTTGCTCAGAGAATTTACAGTGACTGCCCAAGGTCACCCAGTAAAATCGGTAGCAGAGCTTGGTTTTGAATACTGGTCTGGTACGTGCCTCTGTGTTACTCAAATTCTGAAATGAAGTGTTTTCTTAAATTTTTTTTAAGCCAGTTTGCATTTTTATACCTAAATCATCGTAGAAAATAAGAGTGTTCTAATCAGTTGATGCCTTAATTGTAATTCTTCCTTTGTTTTCCCTGCAGCATACGTAGGCAGAAATGTAATATTGACAAGTGGTTGCATTATTGGGGCTTGTTGCAACCTAAATACATTTGAAGTCATTCCTGAGAATACAGTGATCTATGGTGTAGATTGCCTTCGTCGGGTGCAGACTGAGCGACCGCAGGTACCATAACCTCTTTCTAGAGAGTTCTTTCTAGCTGCTATTTTCCCCAAAATACCACATAATTGTTTTAATGGGGCAGCAAGTCCACTGTTTAAAAAAAGCTCATGATTACAATAAAACATCACAGAAACATTCCTAAAATTAGAATTTATCTGCCGTGGAATTATTCACTCTTTAATTAATATAAAAAATATGCACAATATGACAATGACAAACTTGATTATAGGAAAAGAAAATTCAGAGATGTTATTCCTAAATGTATTTCCACTGAAGATTTATCACGAAATCTTAAAAAGTATTGATTCCTCCTAAAATATCAATCTTCAAGGGTTAGGAGTGACTCTTCCGAATTTATACTGGACAGTCAGCTGGGGTTCATCGATTAGTTTACTAACAGAGGTTGAAAATAATACAGCATGTGAATATCTAGGTGTGTTTGGATAATTTCCTGGCTTATGAGAAATTATCCCCTCCTAATAATCAAGAGTAACGAAGAGTGTGTATTTGGAGTTTCCTGTGAGAGCAGTAGATGAATAAGAAAGGGCATTTGGAACTTCCTTTTGACAGCTGATCGAAATCTGGCGCCTCATTGGTTGGCACACTCAGTATACTTTTTTAGTTACCCAACCTCCTTCCACTCCTCCAGAAGAAAATATTTTTTAAGACATTTATTACTTTGCCTCTGATTCTTAGCCATATTTTATCAGAAATTTAAACTCTAGTGTTTTGGGGTTATTCTATTTCTGTAATGTTTGCCTTTTATTATTACTGCTAGAGGCCCAATGTATGAAATTCATGCAAGGGGCTTGTGACCCCCACCCACTGGTTATTCTGAAGGTTGTTCTGTCATCCAGTCTAATTGGCATATTAGCTCTTTATTATATAGGGCTATTATTAGAATCAAGTATTCTGTCGACTGAAAAGGAAAAAACCAATCCCATATTTTTTACTATCTTTCTACATAACAGCAAAAGTGATTAAAGAGGGAGAAATGAAGCTGGAGCTGGGGAAGGGAGATTAGAATTGAGGAGGAATCGCTGATATTTAATACACAATGGTATGCAACACTTTTCATAAAGATTATGTAGAAGTTCTCATTGAAAAATGATTCCTCATGGACAGATACATGCAAAAGAATGAAACTAGATCACCAACTTACACCATACACAAAAATAAACTCAAAATGGATACAGGACTTAAACATCAGACGGGAAACCATAAAAATACTAGAAGCATCCACAGGCAGCAAAATCTCAGACGTATGCCAAAAGAACTTCTTCACTGATACTGCCCCTAGGGCAATAGAAGCTAAAGAGAAAATAAATAAATGGGACTACATCAAAATAAAAAGTTTCTTTACAGCAAAAGAAACCATCAACAAAACAACAAGAAAGCCCACTGTGTGGGAGAACGTATTTGCAAATGTTACCACTGATAAAGGTTTAATCTCCAACATCTACAAACAGCTTATACAATTAAATAAAAGAAAAATGAATGATCCAATTAAAAAAATGGGCAATGGACCTAAATAGAATATTTTCAAAAGAAGACAGAAGAAGGCCAAAAGGCACATGAAAACATGCTCAAAGTCACTAATTATCCGAGAGATGCAAATCAAAACAACAATGCGGTACCATCTCACACCTGTCAGAATGGCCAACATCAACAAATCAACAAACGACAAGTGTTGGCGAGGTTGCGGAGAAAAAGGAACCCTCGTGCACTGCTGGTGGGAATGCAGATTGGTGCAACCACTGTGGAGAACAGTGTGGAGTTTTCTCAAAAAACTGAAAATGGAACTCCCATTTGACCCAGTAATCCCACTCCTAGGAATATATCCCAAGAAACTAGAAACACCAATTAGAAAGGATATATGCACCTCTATGTTCATAGCAGTACAATCTACAATAGCTAGAATTTTGGAAACGGCCTAGGTGCCCGTCAGCAGATGATTGGATCCAAAAACTTTGGTACATCTACACAATGGAATACTATGCTGCCATAAAAAAAAGGAATTCTCATTTGCAGCAACCTGGATGGAATTGAAGAACATCATGCTGAGTGAAATAAGCCAGTCAATGAAAGAGAAACACCACATGACCTCACTCATTTATGGATAATAAAGAACATTATAAACTGATGAACCAAAAGATAGATATAGAGACAGTAAAGCAACAAGTTGACTGTCAAATTACAGCAGGTAGGTTAGGGAGATCTGGGGGAGATAATAGATCAACCAAAAGACTTGTATACATGCATATAAGTAAAACCAATGGACACAAAACTATGGGGAGGGGGGGCCAATGTTAAATTATGTACACAGATAATAAATGAATAAAAAAAATGGGGGGAAAAAAAGAAAAATGATTCCTCAGACTCAGTGAATCAGAATGTCTAGGAGAGTGGTCAAACGTATTAGTCAACAGAGCCAAATATCAACCGTACAACAATTGAAATTTCTTTTGAGAGCCACATTTTTTAAAGTTAAACTATATAGTTAGGTATATTGTTTTTAACTTAATTAGGGTACCCCTAAGCTGGCCTTTGCTAAAAACTCAAAGATTAGTTTACTAACAGAGGTTGAAAATAAATACAGCTTGTGTATATGCAGATGTGTTTGGATAATTTCCTGGCTTATGAGAAATTATCCCCTCCTAATAATCAAGAGTAAGGAAGAGCACGTTACTCCAGCTCCAGCTTCATTTCTCCCTCTTTAATCATTTTTGCTGTTACGTAGGAAGATAGTGGAAAAATACGGGATTGGTTATTTCCTTTTCAGTCTACAGAAATAATTTGGCTCATGAGCTGCAGTTTGCCGACCACTGGTCTAGGGCAAGGACCTAAAATATTTTTGAAAGTTACTCTTAGGGAGGTTTACAACAGGGAAGCTTGGGCAAAGCTAGCATATGAAAAATGAAGATCAGATGAGTATTGCAGGTGTGTGCTAGGTAGGTCTTGTGGAAAGCTGTGTACTCTGTGTATTTTACTTATGTTGTCTTCTGTAATTAGAATTTTTTAACATTTTAGAGGCCAGGGTGAAATCTATAAAAACAGTGTTGAAAACTGAGTCATTTACATATTCTTATATATAAAACTAGAGACTAGTGAATGAAATTCGTGTGTGTGTGTTTGGGGGAGGGGGTCCCCCCTCAGCCCAGCCTACACCCTCTCCAATCTGGAACCCTCTCAGGGGATGCCTGACTGCCGGACATCCCTCTCACAATCCTGGACTGCTGGCTCCTAATTGCTCACTTGCCTGCCTGCCTGGTTGTCCCTAACTGCCCCCACTGCATGCCGGCCTTGTTGCACCCAACTGCCCCCATCTGCTGACCTGGTTGCTCCCAATTGCCCCCCTCCTCCCCGCTGGCCTATTTGCCCTTCACTGCCTCCCTGCTGGCCTAATTGCCCGCAACTGCCCCCCCCCCCAATGGCCTAGTCACCAACTGCACCTAGCCTGGTCACCCCCAACTGCCCCCCTCTGCTGGTCTGGTCATCCCTAACTGCCCCCCCTGCCAGCGTAGTCACCCCAACTTCCTCCCTTTGCTGGCCTGGTCACCCCACGCAGCCTGCTTGTTCAGTCGTTTGGTCATCCCTCACTAACCCCCCTGCCAGCCTGGTTGTAGGCAGCCATCTTGTGAGGGCGTGAGGGTCAATTTGCATGTTACTTCTTTATTATATAGGATATTTGGCTTTTCTAATTATCAAATTTAATATATATGTTCACTGTAAATTTTCTTTAATAAAATGGGGTAAGCAGTAGTAAATCAGTGATAATCATCTGTAATTACATAATCTAGTGATCATCATTTCTATCTGTACTCTTAACTTTGCTTTCTTCTAGTTCTTAATGATCTTTTCATTTCAGCCCCAGACACTACAGCTGGATTTCCTGATGAAAATCTTGCCAAACTATCACCACTTAAAGAAGACTACGAAAGGAAGCTCAACTCCAGTTAAAAACTAAGAACAAGTTGTGACATCAAGATAATACTTTGACTTTGACCACTGTCTTTTGAAAGGGCCACAGTGTTTATGCCTTCTTAGCAGGTCACAGCATAATACAGGTTGATTTTATTTTGTAAAACAAACTTAGAAAGGAAGGTGGTAGATTTTCATTATAATTGTTCTCTATATTTTAATTAAATGTATTATTTTCCTATATCCCTGTTCATTTTCTGATAGTTTACAGATTTTGTTTCTTTTGTTATGTAAAATGTTAGATACAAATTTTATTTACACAAAAGACTACCTGTGATAAGGAAAGACATATTGTTATGTATTTATATTCTGCCACATACTAAACTAAATAAAAAATGTTGATGACAGGACTTTTAGTGAGCTTATTTTAATCAATTTTTCTATTTACCTTAGCTTTCCCAAAAATAACTCTTTTATTTTTTATTATGTACTGGCTGTATTAAAGCTAATGTGTTTGCCTTTTCATTTGGTGGATTTGTAGCTTTTTAAAATGAAGTGAAATTTTAGCAACTATTGAATTAATTCATTTTGTTTCCAAGAAAAAAATATTTTTTTCTTTTTAGTAAAACAAAAATGGTCAGGGAAAGATATCATACTCAATAGAGTACAAAGTCAAAAAGAATGATGTCTGATGAAAATGACAAGTGACCATTAATTGTGTGGTTCTTTTTGGTTTCTGAGGACAATGAAACTAAAAGAGATTTTGATATATTTATGGAATTATTTTGGCATATTACTAATTATTGAGCTCATTATAATTCTATTTAATTACAAAATGGGCAAAACAATGAAGATTTTGTTGTAATTCCAAGTATTTTTAATAGTTCAAGTGCACACATTTAATGGAACATACTTTTCAACTTTTGAATCAATAGATATTAATCAATACTATTAAATACTAAGATATTTTCTCTTGAAATTTAATTTTTAAATGTGGATAGTAAAATCTATTTTTGAATTTCTGAAACTGACAGGTACAAATTAGCCTAATTGTTCCAAATTTGAATGAATTGATTTTGCTAAAAATACTTATGACTCAGTTAGAAAACTGTATGACTAGATATAGTGACTGAAAAAGGAGAACATCAGATAAAACTCTAGTTTTGATAACTGGTATTTATTCATTTTCAGTTCCTGGTACTCAACTCAGGATTCTGTTGACCATGAAAATTATGTTAGATAAAAGATCTGAAATTACAAAACTGCCTTTGAAATGCTATGCCAATTCTAAAACACTATGTCTGGGCAAGCTCTGATATGCTAATAGGTAACTTCTGTTCCAAACTATCCAAGGTTTTAACGTAGTCTTTAAAGTTGCACACCATCCATTCCGCTTCATTTTATTTGTTAGAAGCAGATCACCAAATCCAGCTCCCACTCAAGGGGAGGAGATTAGGCTTCACCTTTTGAAAGGAGACACATCCAAGAATTCATATTCCAAAACCACTAGCATATACACATATCCATGTAAACTGGGTTCTCCCCAGGGCACTGTTGCATCTCTAGGGATCTCCACATGGGAAGAGGGCTGTTTATTAATGGGCATAGCACATGATATCATCAAAAGTCTTCATCTTATAACCTGTAAACCCTATCTTCCTAAAAACATGTATTACTCATCCGTAAATATAGGGTATCCCCCCAAAAATGTATATACATACTAAATATTATAAAGGCAATGTTTATTAAAAAAAATTTCATTTTCAAAATTAACCTATCAGCTGTTAAGGTGTGTATACATTCTTGGGGGACACCCTGTATGTATGTATGTATATATATATATTTTTTTTTTTCCTCTTAATATTTTATTGATTTTTTACAGAGAGGAAGGGAGAGGGATAGAGAGCTAGAAACATCGATGAGAGAGAAGCATTGATCAGCTGCCTCCTGCACACCTACTGGGATGTGCCCACAACCAGAATCGAACCTGGGACCCTTCAGTCCGCAGGCCGATGCTCTATCCACTGAGCCAAACCAGTTTCAGCTTAGTTACAATTATAAGTAAAATTTTTGAAGGATAAGAATGCTAAATGATTGTTGAAAATAATACAAAACTCTTCTTAACAATAAAATATATAAACTAACTGATATTTTTTAAATTTGCACTCCTTTATTAAACTTGTATAGAACTTACTGCATGCCAGGCACTACTAAAAGCAATTTATACATAACTTATTAATTATACATTAACACATTTAATTCTTTTAACAGTCAGGTATCACTATTTTATAGATGTGGAAACTGAGGCACAGAGAAGTTAAGTAACTTTCCAAGGCCACCCAGCATTTTGACCCCAGCGTTCATGATTTTAACCCCATTCAATTCTGCTTTTTGAGCTAAACCTTTTAAGCTAAAGATTCCATAATTCAGTGGGCTTCCTAAATGCTAGTTAGGAAAAGAGCTATGGATTTGCATTGCTTTGTCTTTGCTTCTCTTAAAGTTCTTAAATTGCATGAGACAAAACAATAGGAAAATTGTAAAAGAATTGTTTGGTGTTCCCACTGAATTCAATAAGAATTACCCCAAGGGGTCCTTTGTTGAGGCTATAGGTCTTTCTGCCTAAAACTTTAAACTGGTTCTGTGTATTATTACTAATGAACTGTGGTGGTAAACTATGGTGGGTTTTTACTTATAAAAGTAATATAATTTCATTTTAGATCATTTAGAGGGTGGGGAGGACGTTTTTCTAATTCCATGGCCCACCCTCAAAGCACCACCACTTTTATCATTCTGGTGGCTAATTCTTTGTGTGCAATCCAACCATTAACGAAGGTAAATGAAGATCTCTTCAGATACTTTAATCTTACGGCTTTGTAATCCCCAATGTAGACCGGCTGTTTTACCACAGGAGAGCCCCGGGATACAGGGTAGGTTTTTCCCTATTGGTTAGCAAATGGTTTCTTTTGGAGAATTTATTATCCTTGGTAATCTGACCCATATTAAGGCTACTTTAGACTTCGATATTTTATTAAACACAAACTAGGAACAGTTCCTTCCCTGCCTCCTTCAAAGGGAGATATATTTTAATATTTTAGAGCATTTACCAGGAGTAGAGCCAGTGACACTAATCACATCCACATGGAGGCTCAGGCACTACACCCTCCCACAGAGAAGCATCACTGGTCCTACTAGAGACTCAGCAAAGAGAGGGTCCTTCAAATCCTTTTTGTTAGCATTCCTTCCAAAAGAACTTCAGCACTACCTTCATGTGCATTTGAGTGCTGAATTTAGATTTTTTGTGGAACTCACCTTTCCTATGGTTTGGACTTTTGAACCACTCTCTGTTCTGTGTGAATAATATGCCTGTGGCTCAAGGCCCACCCAAATTTTACAACTAGGAAGTAGACCAGTTCCTGATGGATTAATCACTTTTCTCCCTAATTGAATGGTGTGTTTTCCAAAAGCCAGTCATTTGTTCCCAGACGTGTTCATTCAAGTTGTATTTAGTTATTATAGAATGTAAGTCAATATTAGCAAAACCATGTAAACATGAGTGTAAAGAGAATGGTAATCTCTATGAAAATAAGTTGAATGCTTGGAGGAAACATGATCAAGCCAGGTCTTTCTCAAGGGAAAGAGAAAAAGGCTATGGAATTAGGTGTGAGTTGACACATGAGAAAGTTTGGGTGGAGAAAGGGTTGTGAAAATCTAGAATTGTCAGCTTCCATGGCAGAGTCTGGGGAGGGGTGGCAGGCATCGTGTCCAGCCATGAAGGTGGCAAGAAGAAGCCTTGAAGTAGCCCAAGAAGGAGGCCAAGGGAGTGGCTGAGATAAAGTGTTCCAGAAGCAAAAAGAAGCAGAAGAAAACCCAGGTGCTAAAAGCAAAGGCCAGGGGGAAGTACCTCCAGGCCGCAGGTAGAATGAAGAAATTTGGCAAAAAGTGAGCTGAGCATTCCTTGTGCCTGGGCAATGGTGACCTTTAGTTCCATTCATGTTTAACGTCTGGGATCCCTGTCCTAACATATCTTGTCACCTATAGTTAGAGTAAAGTGTTGACTTGGAGCCTGTTGTACATTTAAGAATAAACTTTGGCCCTAACTGGTTTGGCTCAGTGGATAGAGCATTGGCCTGTGGACTGAAGGGTCCCAGGTTCGATTCCTGTCGAGGGCATGTACCTTGGTTGCGGGCACATCCCCAGTGGGGGGTGTACAGGAGGCAGCTGATTGATGTTTCTCTCTGATTGATGTTTCTAACTCTGTCTCCCTCTCTGTAAAAAAAAAAAATCAATAAATAAAGTATATAAAAAAAGAATAAACTTTGTATGATTAATAATAACAATAATCATGCAGTGGCTCATCTGTTCAGTTCTTCTCACTCTGCCGTTTCAACCTTAGCTGTGAGGACAGAGTAAACCCAGTCCTGGCAAAGTGTGTTCTTCAGCATTTGTTCTATCCCAAATTCTGTACCATCTGGGATTCAATCAACTCATTTGAAAACAAATAGAAACAAAATCTAGAATTCTGCCCACATTTTACTCTACAAGCATCATGAGTCCACACCCCACTGAAGCTGAAGTGAACAATGCTCCTTGCTGTGTTAAGGGAGGTCTAATGTGTAGTCCCCATTCAGAGAAAAGGCTTTAGCCTGGTATCAAAGCAATGATGGCTGAATGGACTTGTGTATGTTTTAAAATAAAAATAACGTTTTAAGGATATTTATTATAATTTTGAGATTCCCTACTTTAACTGAGTCACTACAGATTTTGACTACATGGGGGAAGAGAGCCTCCTTCAGTAAAATCCAGGAGCTGCCAAGCAGACATGGGTGTGGGGCAATGACTTGCCTGGACCACAGCACTTGCCAATGGCTCACATACTTGCAAATGGATAGCCTCACATTTTAAAGACTATACATAGAGTCCCTTATCTCTGGGTTAGATGTGCTTCATTTTTTAATTCAGCAGATTTTTAGAACGTAATCACCTATAATATGTCTGAGCCTATTAAATAAAAGAATGGATTTAGGTCTTTCAACTTACCTTGTAACT